AATGGAAAAAGAAACACGCACACTTTCCTTCCAACCATTTCCTATCCTGATGTGATGAAGTCTGGCCGGAAACAGCCATTTCCCTGAATGTTCCTATCTCTCCTCCGGCATACTCCCTTGTCCCTGATTCATTGCCAATAAATCATGGAGTGAGAGAGTGTGTGTGTGTGTGTGTGTGTGTGTGTGTGTGAGAAAGACAGAGCAGGTAAGAAAAAGTTTAAGAGAAAAGGAGTAGGGGAGACGGAAGGGAAGACAGTATACAGTGCACTTGAGATAGAAAAACAGAGATGAAGGAAAACCAGATGTGTGATGTGTCCTCGTCAACACTGCACAGGGTTGGTGTTCGCATTGCCAAATATGGCTGAGTGTACTTTAAAGCAGTAACATCTTACCAAAGAGAACAACAACACAGATGCCATAAAAACACCATTGCTGAATTAATTGTATGGGTACTAGTCAACCTCTAAATAAACACAAAGAGAGGAACTGGTACATTGCAAGAGGAAAAACAGACAAGGCTGCTGGCTAATTTGCTACTTGAGCTTTCCTATAATGATCAACGATATCTGATACTACACAAAACATCTAAGTTCATGATGGCAAAACACAGATTCAACTCAGTCTTTTACATTTCAAATCAACAATCTCCCGATTGTCAGCTACATTTTATGAGACTCAAAATTATAATAAAGTGCCAAACAACAAACAATTTCCCCTTTGCTTTTTTAACATAATATCCTTACAGAAGCATACAACCAGCAGAGTAATGTATGCCACCGGCAAACCCCACCCAACTGAAGAGGCTTTTGATCATGCCCTCCCTACTGTTTACTCTCCCACAGGGGCTCCAGTTACCACTGCCTCCCCTGTCGAACCATCAACGTCGCACCTCAGCACAACACAAGGGATTTCAGTCATCACCACACAAACTCAGTTCAGTTCTCTGTGTTTTTATATCATCTCCTAAACAGAGCTGGCATCTGTGTCCTTGCGGCACACGTGTGCTAGTATAGGAGCAAAGTCCTCCATGTTGTTTTAACACTAAGCCCTGTAGCTTGACAGACGTAGAGTTTAATGTTATCAATAATACAGAAAGTTGCTGATGCAGACATGCAGTACTTGGAAAAGCTGAACAACAGAGGTGAGGATATATTAGAACTAAGGACAGCCACACCCAACACAGTGGTAATACACAGTGTAGCTAGTAGCTGACTGCACCACTTAACCACTGTTAAACTAAAAGGCAGCAAGTGTTAAAATCATTACAGCCACTGGATGCAACTGAGACCCAAAGTTTATTTTTGACCTTGATCACTACTGGGTCCATTTAGCAGCTATTCTAAGTTTTCAATCTGAGTACTAAGCTCACAAAAATGGAAATTAGAGGCTCTACAACATCAACTGAGCAAACTCCACCAATCAAGTGTCAAAAACTATGTCAGCTTCATGTCATGTCTTCAAAAATTGAAGTTTCCTTTAGATGTAATCCCCAAACTACACTTAATTATCTTTTTAAGCGTAAAATGTTAACCTACAGTATGTATTAAATCAAAATGAACAGCCGTTATCTAATAACCCACAATTAGCAGAAGTGAACCTTGCCTGTTTAGACTCACAGGGCTCAATGTACCTTTTACAGCATGAAGTGCAGTTTGAAGGCTGCTTCTCTAAACCCACTGATGTTGACATTCCCTCAGCCAAAAACACCATACCATCGACCAGGAAGGTGAATGCAAATGAGGAGATAGAGTGACACTGAAATGGAGGCTCAGTCCCTACCTTTTTTTCTGAATCTCTGAAGTTACAGTATTGCAGCACACAAACTTACGTCCCTGCTCTGATATACATTAACCCTCCGAGCCTCCCCGCATAATCGATGCAGAGGGTGTAATCATATGTTTTAGCCTTTACAAGTCTAGCAACTAAGTTTCCATTAGGCCTGGCTGAAAACAATCAAGATGCCAAAAATGAAATAAAAGAATCTGAATCATATCATTGGTGATTCATAATTATGATCACAATGTTCAGCAGAACCATTCTCATTAGTTTGGCGGATATAAAAATTATGCAGCCTTAGATTCAGCAAGGTGTCTGCAGAGTAGTGTTAAAAATAGTGTGGTGCAGAACAATTTTAGCTGGAATGACAAGAATTCAGGACTACACCATTTCTCGGATTTGTTTATCCAGGGGAAGAGCTACGCAAACACTTTGTATGTAGAGAAGTGATCACATCTGCGCCAAAGACACAATATTAAATATGGAGCTAATTTACTTCATTACCATTAACAAATTTAAATTACCAGGTCAGAATACAATTGTAAATATGAGCATTGTATATGTAAGACTCAATATACTATTTTGGCCTTGCTATATCTGCCAGTTGCAACATGAAGCCTGAGATCACTGATCATGCACTCTGGGGTTTTAGGAAAGGTTTAGGCATGTTATCATATCTAATGATCATCTTTGAGTCATTTTACCCTAGAATCCAGTTGACCAGTATAAAACGTGCATCAGACTTCATCTTTAAAGAGCAGAGGAGCCTTTTGTTTTTGTTTTTGCAAGAAAAGTTAGCCAAGGTTTTGCGGTGCTCACAGTGCTTTTCCCCTACAGGGTTTCCTGTCCTGATCAGCAGGGCCAGACGGACCCTCTCATTACAGAGACCACAGATGAAAATGAGAGCTAAATGAGGCCCATTACCATGCGGGCGTGTCTAATATCCCTCTACAGAGCTTGCCACACATACTGGAAACACACGCACTCTGATCACATGTGCGCACACACGTTATTGTACATGTGTAAGCAAAATAAGTCAGACACCCACGCTAAGATACTAGTGAACATTACCCAGGAACTAAGATGAGCGGAAATTGGTAATGAACTCCATTAAACTGACCAAATCTTGGGTTGCTCTGTGGGGGGTGTCTGGCACTTACCACTGCGTGCACATATTCACAAATGATCAATTATATCATTAGCTCTAAATGTGGTCCTGGTTCATCCGAATTCCTGTCCACAAAAAGTATTACCTCCTTTACTCCCACTCTTATAATCTCTTTCCGTTCTTCCCAATTGCCCTTACATCATCTGACTAGTTCTGTAACATTTTATCTCTCGTGTGCGTCTCTTATCTCTTCACATATCCACTCTTCTCTTCATTTTGTGAAATATCTGCAACAGATTCATTGCCTTACCGGAATTCACAATCCCAGCACAGGTCTCGCTCACGATTCAGTCCTCAGCTCGAAAAGTCAAATACAGTTTTATCTAATTACCTTTTCATTTTTGCTCTACTTCACCTTTCCATACTGTCATTCCATCGCCAATTTATTCCTAAAGTATCATCACCATTTCCCTTCCCTTTGTACTTTTCCATCATCACCATTTCCCTTCCCTTTGTACTTCCCTACCAACCTCTGACCGGCAACATTATCATTGTGTGATTTTTAGGTTCCCCTTCCAATTTGAATTGATCTTCATCTGTGATTCATTCCAACTATTCTTCGCCTTCTACCTCCCTGTCTGCCGTGTGTTAACCACCTTCGCCCCCCTGTTTTTCTCTCCTTTTGCTGATCACTTCTGACTGATTTATAGCCTTGCAACAGGCTGGTAGAGGTACTCCTGCCAGAGGAGGGGCTGAGTAGAAACGGGGCTGTTTGGTGTTTGAAGTACATGAAGGAGCAATATAAAATACACCTGGTCCATCCATGAGGCGCACTCTGTACGCAGAAACAAAGGGAAGGGAGGGAGACACACAGGAGGAGAGACGAGAGGGCCGGACCGCAGGGGAGAGAGAGGTGGATTAAAAAAGGGGAGGGGGGGGGGTTATTTTGTGTTTCCTTTCAGGATGGCTTTTATGGTGTAACTTCAAACACTGACCTCCCACACCCCCACCCCTACATCTCCCTGCTCCCTCGCTCCATCCGTGCGTCACTATTGTGTACGGCCAAGTGGACCGTAATTGGCTATTCTTCCATGAGGCTGATTTCAGCACTCTCTCTCTCCCCCCACAGGAAGAGGCCCATTTGCTGCCCCTTAAAAGTATTTCTGTATATGTGTGTGTATGTTGTAGATATGCCAGACGGCAGGTATCAGGTGGTTGAAGAGGGCTGCACTGGCTGCGAACTCTACAGGCATTTCATTCACTGTGTGCACCAAATTACAACACAGGAAACCGATGTAATCTAATCCAGAAAAGTCATGTTCCAACATAACATTTATGAAATGCTCTCTGGATTTCAGGTTCAGCGTAAATATTTATACCTTTGCTTACGAATAAAACTTATTTCACATTTGATGAAAGATACACTAAGTGTTGAAGGGAAAGTTAAAGCACTCAAACATCACTGGACATAAACAATATTTTACAATGAAAAATCTTTTTTTTATGTGTTGGTTAATTAAAGATGTAATGCAATTGCATGTCAGTCTTTGGAGGGAGTTAGCCGTCTGTACTTTGTAGATAGCCCTAATTAACATGGTGCACACATGCAAACCCATCTTTTTTTGTACTGTTTTTATGTGCTCTTAGGTTTGTGTTTACTGGTGAAAAGTTCAAAATGAGAGGGGGTGTGGGAAGACAAGGATGGATGCAACAAAAGGTTCAAGGCCATATTCAGGCTCCGAATGTCAAGGCTAAATGGTGTGTCCCCCCGACAAACACAGACACCATCCCACACACTCACACAGTGACCATGACACTCACAGATACAGTGGTATGTGATGTATACAAAGTCTTGAACAGAAAATATGTGGGCAGAGGAAACCACATACTTCAAGGAGTACAGGGTAAACTGTCCTCACAGACACAACACATACATACATTTAGGAATATTGCACTGTCAGACAAACAAAAATACTGCTGGGATAACTTCTGAGAGTAAAAAACTCAGCTAGACAGAAGATAAAGCTTTCCAAAAGAGAAAGGGATACTGTCAAGGGTTAGATGTACAGAAGAGGGACGGTAGATCGAGACCTTAATACAGCAGAGTACCTCCTACCTTTTTGTAGTTCACCTTGGGCTCTCTTCTCTTCCGCTTTCTGCTCTTCCCCTGATGACTCTGACTGAGGAGAATCCATTTTACAACCTGCAGGGGGGG